GAAGCTATTAGGAACAAGTGCATCGCTAGTAGTAACAAGTGCCTTACTAGTAGTAACAATAAGCTATTAGAATTAATTTAAATATAACCGGACCGGTCGTCTTTACGCGAGAGAACAGTCGACCGGTTTGACGCATGTCTCGACTCCAGAGCATCGACTTTGAGAAGTTTAAGCCGGTGATGTTGGCCGCGCTCCGCTCATTGCACTCCGGCAGGGACCAGGGACTGAAGGCGTAAAAATTAGGGCTTCGACCAGGGACTGGTTGTGAGTTGGAGAGCCAAGTTCTCTGGAACAGGTGAGATGTCTAAGGAAGATCCTGCTTGAAAAAGATGGCATCAGAGAGTTAAGCCAGAGAGTTGCACAGTGGATGAAAACTATGGCGTAACTTTTGCAATGAAGGACCTCACAGTGGCTCATGCCCGACTCCTGTTGAAGACGCAAGCTACTACCAAGATGTCGGCCAAAAGACTTGCGACTGACATGACTGACTTGTCATTCTTGTCATACTCACGGGTTCCCGCGAAGTGGAGCCGTCCCACACTCTTGGGAGCCAAAAACCTCGCCTCGCCCAGGCTCCCGAAGCAGTGGAGCACCTTGCACGAGACCGCCTGGGAGTGGCTGTGGATGACGGTATCTCGGAACTTGAGGGAGTCCACCATGAAGGCACAAAAAGTCAGAGCGAGATTGTCTCAGCTGTCATGTCATGTGTATTTGTACGTTGGAAGCTTGGAACTTTGCAGGAAGGAACCTCCAACAACTGTTTGGAGTGAGCTAGAGTTGGAGTGACCAGAGAGCCCTATTCCAAATGCATGAGTTCTGGGCACATGATTTCATGAGATAGTTCTGTGCCCCTTCGAGCTTTGGATTTGGCCGGTGGTCGTAGGCACTATGGCCAGCGGATTCTTAACCCGACCCTTGACAGGATTAGCCAAAAAGTAACAAGAACCAACTCTTGAAGCCGAACACCGCTTAGAATAGAGGCCTTAGCTCTCCCCTTTTGGAAGACCATTTGGCCGCCTATTTGGCCGCTCCGGGAGGTTCGTGCCTTCAAGCCCTACAACGTGAAGCTCTTCTCCGCCCTGTCCGAAGAGTGCCAACCTTGGCCCGGCGAAACACGTCGACACGCTGCCCGCCAACGTCCCCTCCAGCCCGGCGAACTGCGGATGCGCGCGGCGTGTTGAGGCAACTGGACCGCTTCCGCAAAGACATTTTCACGCATTTCTTCGTCCGAGCTCCAGCCAGTCAAGACCTGTTTAAGCAGCCGGGGGCCTCAAGGTGAAGCATTTCAATCGTCTGTTGGTTGGGAACATGCTGGCCTCTTCAATCCTCTTCAGGCCTTCAGGAGGCGAAATCTTAGGCCAGAAGATGCCAGAAGCACATCTCAAAGAGACGCGCAGTGTGTTTCTTCCTTCTTAAGTTGGTCCAGGATGACGGGGACTAAAGCTTATATATATTATATGTTGCATTCATGCACTGTATTCGTTGTACCTCCATTGTTTTCATTGCAGAGGAGGCTTTGGCACTTTTCTTGTTTCTTACTTCGCTTACTTCATCTCCTAGTACTCCGGGAAAGCATGGCTAGCAGAATTCGTTCGCGACCGCGACACAGGTCTCAAACAAGGCTTCGCTACATTGCAGATCGAGTGCTGCAGTCTTCCGCTGATATGTTTCAAAAGAACAAAGATGATGCTCGGTGAGAGGTCTTAGATGGGGTGACGGGGGTGGCCATTTTGTGACGCTCACCTGGGTGACGGCGGTGACGGGTTGAAGAAACACATTGGATGGAGACACTGGAGCTGGTGAATGCTTCGGGATGTTCGATCGAGTCGCGCGTTTGCAGCAACAAGTTCTCCTGCTAGGCCTTTGCATCTCTAAAGTTTGAGGAGTTGTTTCACAGAAGTTATTGGAACTTTGAGTGGCATCCTTGTATTTTGGAGTTTGGTACATGATGGTACATGTCCCAAACATAAATGTCATGCCACAGCAGCTGCTGTTGTGTCAGGAAACCCTTGATGATTTGTCTGCATTGGGCTTGCGGCATGTAGGCGCCCTTTCGGTTTGCACGGCGCACAATCGGGGAGTTGGCATGGCAGGGAGGTAGGCCGGGCATTCGGTCGGGGACTGTGACTGTATGTAGTGTAGGGCATTGAAATAGCCGACATCATCCTACACGAAAACGCCAGGACGCACGTATTGGGGACATGATAACACACACGTCCGCTGCTTCTTCATCCAGACACACGTCTCGCATTTGGGGGGCCTTCAGTCCAGTCATGCTCACGTTCTTTTGCGGCTGCCAAAATTCAGACCCAGAGTGCGGTATTTGCTCGTTTGGCCAGACACGTTTCAGGAACCATCCATCCACGTGTCGCAGCGGAGGTTACGGCATTCCCATCGAGCTCTTTGGCCCCTTTGCCGAGACGTGCGTAGATGTGATGCAGCCTTTGATCCAGGAGTTCCCCAACGACAACGTGTCTGGGCCGAACAGACGACGAGATCCGTCGTGGGAGGACGACGTGACGAGGCACGCGCAGAGATCGATCTGGCACTGTGTGGCTCCCATTGGTGATCGGCAACCATTTTCACCAATGCTATGGTCGGCATGTGTGTCACCTGGTTTACTGGTCTCGGTGAATTGCAAGTTTGTGGTTAAGGGGGGGCACTTGTGGCTTTGAACTCGTGTAAGGTCCAATATGGTCGGGGTGAACAGGTTTGCTCTAAACATTTCCAGCAGATTCTGCGTCAATAGTGCATGTTTGATCCAGTTGCGAGCCAGTGGTCGATGTCAGTGCCATGCTCGTCCGAGAAAAGCGAGAAGCTCATGTGGTGCCCCAAAGACAAAGCGCATCAGATACCAGATCCTCAGCTGCATTGAGGTGACAAAGAGCACCTAAACGCGATTAAACGCGACTTGCTTCTTCGAGCATTTGTTGCATGGCTGTCGTCTCTACGCTGGCTTTGCCATTTTCAGATGAATCTGAGGAGAGGGAAGTGCCAGAGCACATGATGGTCGAGGGCTTCCGCTGGTCCATAGGCCTGTCCAAGTGAAGTTCTCGACAGGGAGGACACTCTCGATCCTTCTCGTTGCATCGGGTGAAGGTGTTTACCTTCATGCTGCTCATGCGATATCATGGCACTGAAAAGTCAGGAAACTTCCCGTGCAACTGAAGTGCAGCTTTGGTGGTGATTCGTTTGACATCTACAGCAAGAAAACCTCACTGGAACAGGACTCATGGACATTTGGAGTAACCTGTTGAAAGTCGAGGTGCTGGTGGAAGAAACATGCTATATATTAATAAATGCATGGTTTTATGGCCTCATGAATAAACACTACACACGGTATGTTTCACCGTAGCATTGGGCTCGAAGGGGTCTATGCCAGTGTGTGGAGTTTGCCTTAAGTGGCAGCTCCTAGGTGACAAGTGCCCGGTTTGCACCTCCCAAGAGCGACTGAGCACCGCTATCGCTAGTGACTGGCTGCCTGCATCGCTCGAGGCGGAGGCGAAGGTCACCAAAATCCTGGACAGTGCTTTCTACTCTGTGGCCAGGTTGGTACCAGAGGAGGAGAGTCCGAGGAAGGGAGTCTCCACTCCCAAGCGAGCTGCGGGAGAGGGAGGTGCAAAGGGAGAGAAATCTCCCAAGAGGGCCGAGAGAGCTACAGCATCCACAGACGAGAAGGAGGAGAAGAGCATCAAGGTCGGCGAGGAGAACAAGTCCCCTTATTTGAAGCCCAAAGAGGAGAAAGACAGGGGAGTCAGCACTACTCCCAAGAAGACAGAGGATCGCAAGCCATTGCCGAGGAGACGAGAAGAAGAAAAGGAGACAGTAAAGAGATCAAGAACGCCCAAGCGGAGGCAGGAGAAAGAGAAGAAAAAGCGAAAGCGAGGAGGTTCGAGGTCAGGAGAAGTGAGTGGCTCAGAGGTCAGGAGACAGAAAAGGGAGGCTGCTGACTCCCAGAAAGAAAAGAATGAAAGAGTGGAAGAAGAGGCTGAGAAAGAGTCAACTATTGAGAGAGAGGCGTATTTGAGGCCGAGACCAACGCAGAGGAGACCCAGATCACCACATACCCCAGAACGACCCCCTCCAGGGAGATCGTCGAGTTCCAAAGGAGGTGGCCAAGGCAAGCCACAAGGAAGTGGCTGGAGGGGGCGAATACCCTATTCAAGCCATCCCAGGTGGACTCAGGGGACAAATAAAGGAATCACAAAGAGGGCGAAGCAAGAGCTTCAGGAGAGAAAGACCCACGGCCGGGGAGGCCGTTATCGGTGGTAAGGGAAGCAATGGCTCCCAAGTTGAGGCGTCCCTCGTGCACGGGCAGCAGCGCCAGGGCGAGCAAGGCCGCGTCGAAGGCCAGCAGCAGAGGAGGAGCCTTTGGTGCCTGTGGAGAAGCTCTATGGATGGTCGGAGCTGACAGTGGACAGGTTGGGAGAGCTAGACATCATCGAGCTTGACCGTGCCTCCTACTACAACGCCCACGTCAAGATTGCTGGAAGAGTTCGTGCTCTGCACCCTGCCGAAGGAAAGATGGACTTCGTCCTCACTGGGACACAGTCTGAGCGCATCATGGAGACCTTCGGTGGGGGGGAATATCGCACGATCTCCGTTCACCTATGCAAGGAGGACTGCACCCAGCTTGAGACGGGGATGCGATTGGTGCGTGCTAGGGGTTTTGGGATTGCGCAGTAGCCCCCAAAGAATGGCAGATGAACCTGTCAGAAAAAGTGGTTGAGGAGCTTGATGAGTTGGCTTCATTGAGGAGGTTGGCTGAGGAGCGAGGAAAAGGGAGGGGAGGTGAGAAGCCTCCCAAGATTGATGGGCCAGAGGCTGAGGAAGAGAAAAAAGGAGAGAAGAAGGTTGTGAAAGAAAAGAAAAAGAAAAAGAAGAAGGAGAGGAAAGAAGAAAAGGAGTGGGAAGCGAAGCTGGAGTCACAGGAGGCCCTGGAAGTGCTTGAGAAAGGCCAGAAGACTGCCCGGGCGGTTTTCGCGTTCACCTGTCTTGATCCCAATGTGAGCCGCCGCAAGAGACTGATGGCAAGGGCACGCAAGATGAAGAAGAAGAGCGAGAAAAAGCGGAAGAGGTCATCCAGCTCAGGAGAAGATGAGAGCAGCTCAGAGAGTTCCTCAGAGGTTGAAGGCTCAGAGGAAGAAGGGCCGCTCTTCGAGGAGACAAGAAGGGTGAAGCGGCTGCATGAGAGGTTCCCAGGAGCATTGAGCACGCAGGCGATTGAGAACATGCTGGAGCACCTGATGAGCGCCCGGGGTGACCTATACAGCAGTTCTCAAGACCAGCTCGCTCCGGTGTTTGCCATTTACGCGCACCAACACCTCAAAGCTCAGGCATCGCCGGTGCTCGTGCAAGAGCTTAGCACCGTGGCTCATGTCAGCGACCTCCTCCTAAGGAGGAAGGTGGCCGCAGCGCTCGACGTTTTGGTTCAAAGAGCGAAGTCGCTGGAGGCAACCCTAAAAGGTGGCCACTATACAGTATCCCGCCAGCTTGAGCTGGTAGGGGCTGACCCGGTGACCATGACAGAAGCAGGCGAAAACTACGAAGCAGCTCGGCATGCACGTGAAGACTTCCGGAACAAATCAGTGGGATCAAAGCCCTATGGCCTGGGGCGCAAAGGCGACAATGATACAAAGGGGCGAGGAAAAGCTGTTCCATCTTCAGAGCCGGCATTCAAGGAGAAAGGGGAGAAAGGGAAGAAAGGAACAGGAAAATGGGAGCGCAAAGGGAAAACAGAGAGTTGAGGGCCGGTGAATCAGAGGATGGAACAGCTAGAGAAGGTCAGGCCAGAGAAAAACCAAAGAGGGAAGAGTCGCCAAAAGACAGGAGAGAAGGGGCAGAGAGAGAGAGAGAGAGAGAGAAAAAGACAGAGGGCAGAGAGAGAAGAGGGGCAAGCAGTTGAGGAGCAGGCCGTAGAGCGCTTGTTAGAGGAGTGCCGACGCAAAGCACAAAACAATGAGCTTGGGGAAGGAGGTCTTGTCGAGAAAAATCCGGGACTTGCTCCGGGCCAGGCGGATGATGTAAGACAGCAGCAAGGGAGGGAGAAGAGTGGATCCTCCCAGCAGGAGAAACTGGAGACAGAGGCTGCAGGTATGGACCGTGGCGAACTGGCTGAAGGGACTCTTGCCAGAGGAGAAGCTGATGGTATTCACCAGGTTGGAGGGGAGCGGAGGAGTGGCTCCCAGTTTTTCCAGGGCGGCTCCGGGCGACCCCAGATGAAGGGAAGCCGCCAGGAGGCCTCTTACAGTGTACCACGACTGGATTTGATACCGTGCCGTGGTGAAGATTTTGAGCACAGAAGACCCCATCCCATGGGGCAGCTACAAAACAAGTGTCATATTGAAGAGATCGTGGTGGGGTAAATGGGGCATCTACTCGCTCGCATGTTGGAGGTTTTCGATCAACGGTTGAACACGCGTTGCGGGCAGACCTCGGAGGGGATCTTCCCCCTCCCGCTTCCAACACAACTAGCTGGCATTTCACCTGGAGAGGGTTTTGCAAGGGTGTGACCAATTGAAAGAAAAGGTACCACACCTTAACTTTCGGGAGTTCTTTCGCACCAAGACCATCGATTATTCGGGTGAAGAAGTGAAAGTTGCCCGGCGTTTCTCCTGGCGGATGATTGAGGCCGCATTGCCCCAAGGGGTTGGCAGTTTGGTGTTGACGGATTTCTGCGACCAGGGGACCCTCGACTACGTTCGTAACTTCAAGCAGTGCCTCTTGCCGGTTCAGGATCAGTATCTGGGGAAGACGCCGGCGATCATGGTCGAGCACAGCGACTGGGCAGAGGTCTGCCGGGGGTTGGTTGCTAGGGGCGTCTGTGGTTTGATGAAAAAGGGGGACCTGCACCATGTTCGGGGAAGACCCTTGTTGAACGGCCTTTTTGCAGTTGAGAAGGGGGAGAAAGCGGTTGGAGCTGATGGTATTGAGTTTGACGTTTGTCGTCTTATCATGAACCTGGTCCCAACCAACTCTATCTGTCGCAGCTTGGTTGGCGATACGGCAACGCTCCCATCAATTGTAGGGCTCAATTCCATCATCCTGGAAGACAGTGAACTGCTCCTCACATCCTCAGAGGATATTCGGTGTTTCTTTTACTTGTTCCAAACGCCGCCGGAGTGGTGGCCATATATGGCCTTTGCACGGGAGGTGCCCGTAGAGGCCCTCCCAACAGGACACTCGGGTCACGAATGGCACTTGGTTACCAAAGTGCTGCCGATGGGTTTCGTGAACTCGGTGGCAATTGCGCAGCACGTGCACAGGAGGGTGATCGGACAAGCGCTGTATTCAGGGACCGGACTTGCCTCAAGGCATCAGGAGATTAGACGGGACAGGCCCAACAGTCGTGCAGATCATCTTTTCCGCGTGTACCTGGACAACTTCGATGAGTTGCGCAAGGTAGACAAAGGTGTTGCTGAGCTTGTGGAAGGAAAGCCGTCTGATTGGACGCTGGCAATCCGTGAGTCTTATACCGCCATGGGACTACCACGTCATCCGAAGAAGTGGAGCAGTCCACCTGTGCCGAGGTCCAGGGAGCCTGGGTGGATGGGAGTAAAGGCACAGCCACTCCCAAGTTTAGCAAGGTGGCTCGGTACTTGAGTCTGGCATGTGAGGTGGTGGTTCAAGGAAAAGCCTCAGAGAGAGAGCTTCAGATCATTGGCGGGGGCTTTGTATATATTGCGATGTTTCTTGTCAGGATTGAACGCTATTTGGAAGAAGATTACAAGCTTGAGGGGGATGTCACCTCACCTGCGTAGCAACTTGGGAGTGGAGGTCGAGGCGGAGCTGATCCGCTTTATTGCTATGAGCCCGTTGGCCTTCATGAACTTCAGGTTGCCCATCTCCCAGCACGTCACCGCTAGTGATGCATCGACTACGGGAGGTGGCCTATGCGTGTCCCGTGGGCTCAGTCCCTACGGGCTGGCTGCCTCCCAGGCTGAAGCGAGGGGTGATGTGCTATGCCCTGATGAGATTGACCAGATCTTCGTAATTTCCTTGTTTGATGGCATTGGAGCTTTGCGTGTTGCCCTGGATTGTCTCAGGGTGCCAGTCGCCGGTTTCGTCTCAGTGGAGGTTGATGACCATGCCTCGCGCGTCGTGGAATCGTACTTCCCGGATGTGATTCGTGTGACCGACGTTGCCCTGGTTGATCTTGAGATGATAGCCGAGTGGTCACTGCGTTTCCCTTCGGTTTCGCTTCAGCTCTTAAGCGCAGGGCCCCCGTGCCAGTCCCCGTAAAAAGGGGTATCAGGTTTGAACGCGGATCGGAAAGGGGCTATGAAGGATGCGAGGTCCTGCCTGTTTCAACACATCCCACGGATTGAGCAAATGGTCCGACGGGTTTTCAAGTGGTGCCCAACACATCGCATAATGGAGAACGTCGCCTCCATGGACAGTGGGGATTGCTTGGCAATGAACGAGGCTTATGGGGTGGAGCCTTGGGTGGTTGACGCACAGGGGATTTCTTTGGCTCGACGTCCGCGTCTTTACTGGATGGACTGGGAAGTGATGCCGCAAGAAGGTATAGCAGTGGAGAAGGGGAGATGTCGTGGTCTCCCAGTGCAAGGCAATCTAGGTTCAATGGGCAGGTGGCCGAAGCTGACTTCTTGGAGCCAGGCTGGAAGCGTGCTAATCCAGATGGGAGCTTCCCCACATTTACTACATCAGGCCCTCCAGAGCGCCAGGCCAGCTGGGTTGGCATTGTGTCCCCCAGAGGCAGTAGCCAGGTGGAAAGGTGATGCTCACAGGTTCCCACCTTACCAATATCGAGAAGAAAATTGTGTGATCAACTCCCAAGGGCTCCTGCGTGTACCTTCTGTTTCGGAGCGTGAGGTGATCCTGGGGTTTCCCCTGGGGTACACCCGCCGATGCATGGGAAAGGCTGCTGAGGGGAGTGTGGAGCATAGTGACTGTCGGTTGAAGCTGCTAGGAAACAGTTGGTCGGTCCCTGTTGTATGCGTGCTGTTGAACTCACTCTTTCGGCTATTGGGCTGGATTCCGCAGTTGTCGTTACAGGATATACTGACTCGGTTGACGCCAGGTTGTTCTCCGGATCTTGCTGGCTTGCTTTTGCGTCCCCCGCTTCGTCACACCAGTCAGGTGACACGGCAGGAACCCGGGCTTGTTCGGAAACTCCTTGGTCAGGTGTCGGTCAAAGGTGAGGATATCCTATTGCAAATGAGCAGCGACGTCCCGGCTAGGTACCACAGATTGAGGGCCTCACTTCCAAGCAAGCTTTGGCGTTGGAAAGATGTGATTGGTTGGCGATGGAAGGGTGAAGCAGAGCGCATTAATGCCCTGGAGCTCAGGGCTGTCAAGACAAGTCTGGTTTGGAGGATAAAGGAGCTGCGTGAAGGTCCTGTCCGCTTCGTTCACTTGGTCGATTCTTTGGTTGTCCTGCACGCTTTGTCAAGGGGAAGGTCTTCAAGTCGGAAGCTTCGGCGGACCTTGGCAAAGATTAGCGCACTGTTGTTGGCGAGTGGCTCCGTTGGTGCTTGGTCCTACGTGGACACGCACCAAAACCCAGCGGATCGGCCGTCCCGGCGGCCTGTTCAGATGAAATGGGTAAGAAAGGTGCTAAAGTGATTGAGGGCCGCAGCCAGCAGCGCATCAAGGTGAGGAAACAACTTGGAACTCTGAAGGGGTTGACCGTTCAGCCCCGGACCCGTGAACGTTATCAGGCATGTCTTGACAAATTCGTTGATTGGTTGGCAGGGGAGGGCCTTGTCCTCCCAAAGCGTGCTCAGGCTATGGATAGTGTTGTCTCTGACTACCCTGAGCATCGGCTATTGATTTAAATCAATAGAATCTATATGTTTTTTAGTGATATTGATTTGCATCGAAATAATTGATTTTATCAATATTTTTTTGAAACTCTTTTTTTCAAACTTTATTGATGATTTTTTTGATGTTTTCTATTGATGTGCTATGTGTAGGATCTATTGATTTGGAATGGGCAAGGTTGACATGGACTGAGTGCCAAAAAGCATCAAGATTGAAGTCCATATGATGTGGTACTTTTGCTCAAATTCAAGGTAGTTGCAGCATCCATCTGTAGGATCCCTTGTTAAAAGGGCAATGAGCTCTGCAGGGAAGGGTGGTGCTAGGCACACACCAAAGCCTCAGGTAGATGTAGACCTCTTGGTGAAATGCTTCACTCTTCATTCTGCTTTGATTCAACATTGTGGCCCATATGAGAACATTTCCAAGACCCAGGCATGCAATCCCAAGGGGCTGTTCCTGATGCTGCCCTTGCTAAAAGGGCTGCTTGACTTGGAAGCCACCTGTGAAATCCATGGAAGTTGCCTGAGACAGGCCATTTTCCAGGTGTTGGTGCAGGACCCCTCTTTGAATGACTCCAAATTCAATGGATCAGTCTGGGTGGGATCCAGGGTGGAGAGAATCTCAGTGGTTCTTTTCCACATGAGGAGGCTGAAAGGGTCAGATGACATGAAAGCCTGTGCCTCCAGACTCACAGGAGCAGAGTTCTTGCAACTGCAAGAAGTGGTGGACATGATTGCAAAAAAAGGTTCACCAAGTACTGAGCTTGCATTGGTCGCCCTTGATAAAAGGGAAGATGGTGAACAGGAGCCTGCCATCAGAAAGTTGAAGAAATAAGTTTCTGATGTGTCACTTGACAGCCAAGGATTTCCCAAGAGCTTGAAGACACCTGAAAAGGTGGAAACCCCCTTGTTGAAAGGGTGCAAGCCAGGGGATAAACTACCCTTGTTGAAAGGGGACACATCAGAAGCTGAACCAGTGGAAGGGGAACCATTGGCAGAGCCATCTTTCAAGAGAAGGAGGAAAGGTCAGCTAGCTGAAAGACAACCTACAGAAGAAGAAAAATCTAACATGAAGGATGCCTTGGGCCTTGGGAAAGTGTACAAGAGACCTGCAGGCAAAAAGAAAAAGACTTCCAAAGCTAAAGCAGGAAGCAGCAAGGCATCTTCTCCCTTGGTAAAAGGGAAGAAGAAAATTGCAAACCCCAACAGGAAGCCTTGGCTGAAATTGTATATGACCCAAACCAAGAAGCCACCTTGGAGAGCTTACCTGACTGGAACCACACAGAAGGGAGGCAAGAAAAGTTTGATTGTTGAGACCACTGCCAGAAATCACCCAAAGTACAAGGAAATCATACAGCTAATTAAGGAAAGGCTGGAGCAAGAGCATATCACCAAGCATGAAGCCCTGAGTTTGAGGGCAGAGCTGTATTCAAGCATGTGAGAAAGTGCTACCCACCCTTGCTAAAAGGGTAGTTTTGGCTGCTGTCTTTAGTGCTTGTAGCTATCCTTGGTAAAAGGAAAATTGTGGCTGCTTTAAGCTTCCCTTGCTGAAAGGGCAGCCCTCACCAAGAGGTCGACATAGGATGCAATGGAGCTGTCCAAAAAAAGCAAGGTTGAACCAAGGGAAGGGATGGCAGTGGTTGTGGGGGTGCTTTTCTTTTGGCACTTGCTACCCAAACTTCTAGGCCACCAACAATTGACTTCTGGGGATGTAGCCAAGCATTAAGGGTCAATACTGTTTTCCTAAACAATGATGTAAACCACCAAAGGGTACCACTCCTCAGCAAGCCTCCTTGATAAAAGGAGGGTTATGCATCCCCTGCTGGGTCTGAAGTAAACCTAAACTTTTGGGATGCAAATCAACCAGTGACCATGCAAGACTGTTTCTCAAACATGTTTTCTAAAAGGGACCATACAGGACTGTTTCTTAAACAAGTATATAAGTACCAATATATATATATACATGTTGGCAGTAACATGTTTGGTTTTGTTTGGCTGGTACATGTTTGGTTGTACACATCCACCCTGCAGCTTTTTGAACTCAAGTGTTCCAGCTGTTGCACATCCACCCTTGGTAAAAGGGTGGATTTGCATCCACCCTTGCTAGAAGGGAGCCATGAAGAGAAACTCCAAAGGGAGGCCTGCTGGTGCTGGATGCACCAGCAGAACAAGGCAGGCCAAGATGTATGAAAAGGGTCTGCAAATGGAGAGAGACAGGATGATCAGAAATGATGTGAATGCACTTGATAAAAGGGCTGAACCTGTGAAGGCAGAGGAGGAGGTGCAGCAGGCAGAGGGGGAGGCACCTGTGCAGGGGGTGGAGGAAGAAAAAAAGGAGGATGAGGAGGAGGTGCCAACAAAAAAGGAGGCACCTGTGGAGGTGCCAACAGAGGAGGCACCTGTGGAAGAAGAAGGCCCAACAAAGGAGGCAGAGAAGACCACAGAAAAGGTTTTTGGGCCAAGCGCAAAACAAAAGGAAGCAGAACAAAAGGAACCAAAAGAGGTACCTGCAAGCATCCCTTGCTCAAAGGGAGCCCAACAGCAGCATGCCTGTGGCCTGTCAAGCAGCAGCTCAAGCAGCAGCACCAGCAGCAGCTCCTCAGATGGCCAGAACCCAGCACCACCAAAGAAGCCTACCCTTGTTAAAAGGGAAGATGTAAAGACTGAGGGCAGTGCTGCCCTTGGTAAAAGGGCAGTGCTGACAGAAAGCCCATCATGGAGGATGCAGGGCCATCAGAAGTGGGTGAAGAAGGAGGCCGGCCAGCTGTGGCTGTAGACTGGTATGGTACCCTCTATGTGAGGGACCATGTGCCACAGAGCAACTTGTCTGCCCTTTGGGAGCTGCATGATGAGGGGTTGGATGTGCACCTCCTCTCCTTCTGTGGCTACAAGAGAAGGAGAAGGCAAAGGAGCTGGACTTCCCCTTCAAGACCATCACCTTTGTGAGGGAGAAAGATGGGTGGGAAGGGAAGGGCCAGTGGTGTTTGAACCACCACATTGAGGCCATCTTTGATGATGACTACCAGGTCCTCATGGACTGCAGGAGGAAAGGTTTGTGGGTGCTCCCAATCCCAAAGAGACCACAACTTTGGGAGCACCGCACATTCCATGAGGCAGTTGAGGCCTTTCTGAAGAAATGGAGGGCCTGGTGAGGCAGGTGTGGAGACTATGCCCTTGGTAAAAGGGTCAGCTGGACTGGATGAGTTGAGTTTTTTTTATCAATTCCCCTTGGTAAAAGGGTGAATTGAAACAAGAAGGTTCACCAGCAGCCAACCCACCCTTGGTAAAAGGGTGAGTTGAAGTGTTTTCACCAGCAGCCAACCCACCCTTGGTAAAAGGGTGAGTTGAAGTGTTTTTCACAAGCACCAACTCATCCTTGGTAAAAGGAAGAGTTGAAGTGCAGAGCATACCAAGAGCACAGAGAAAAAGGGCACCTGGGTGGGATTGGCCTGGATAGGGTTGGACTGACAGGGTTTGGTGGTTTGGACTGACAGGATTTGGAGTTTTGGACTGACAGGGTTTGGGGGTTTGGACTGCAGACAGTGTATTGAACCATGCCCTTGATAAAAGGGCAATGAGCAATGAGGGTTTGGACTGATAGGGTTGTTGACCATATAGACCCTTGATAAAAGGGTTGAAGAACCATCAGGGTTTGAATTGATAGGGTTTATGGAAACTGCCCTTGATAAAAGGGCAATGAACCAACAGTGGTTGAACTGATAGGTTTTGCTGACTATGCCCTTGATAAAAGGGCAATGAACCAACAGGGTTTGAACTGACAAGTTTGTTTGGCAATCATTTCAACTCCTTTTACCAAGGATGATGGACCCATTCTAGAATTATCAAACCCTTTTACCAAGGGTTGTTGGTCACAATTCAGTAAATGTTGTGGATAAATAGACCTTTGATAAAAGGGTTGTATATTGGATTGTAGTGATTATAAGAAAAAAACAAATTTGATCAAATTTGATCAAATTTGATCAAAATCATCAACTATGTATTTTCTGTAAATCAATATCAAACTTACTAAATAAATGTGTAATAGTTTTGTCATATAGGACCCTCAGAGTTGGAACCTCAGGGTTGACTCCAGAATCCTGGTTGTCAATGGATTCATTCACTTCATATCAATGCCAACATTCCACAAATATTGTAGCATTTGGTGGGCTCAAATTCATTATAGAAAGGAATCATGCCACCCAAGGCCATGAAAGCCAAGCCAGCCATGAAAAGGTCACCCTTGCTAAAAGGGACAGCCAGTGGCAAAACACCCTTGGTAAAAGGGAAGAAAAAGGTCATGAAGTCAAGCCTGAAAATGAGCAATTTAGAGAAGCTTGGGAAAATGTCACTGGCAGAGAAGGTCAAGAAAGCCAGTGAAGGTGCAGAGACTGCAGAGGAGGCAGCTACCAACCTCAAGACCATGCTGGACAAGCAGGAGCATAGCAGGGTTTGGTCAAAATACCAAACAGCACTGAAAGGAAAAACAAAAAAGGAGCAGAATGAGTTTGAAAAGAAAGGGAAGGTGGAGAAGGGCTTTGAAGCTGCCCTGTACTTGATGAAGACCACTGTGCCCAAGTTCTTCCACTACCAGGAGTCCCTGGATCATTCTCGCACCCTTGATAAAAGGGAGAAGTGGGAATCAGAGAAAAAGATGATTGAGAAGTTTGGTGAAGAAGAGTTCTACAGGCATTGTGACAGTGGCCGCATCCAATGGAGGGAAGACCCTTGGACAGCTGGTATCTACAACTACTATGACAGAGGTGATATCAGCAAAACTACTTCCATGAGAAGCAACAAGCAATGGGTGCAGGGCCAAGAATACCAACCAGACAATGATGACCAAGCCAACTTTGCTGCCCTCAGTGGAATGGACTTGCATAGCCTTATGGAAAACATGGGCAAAGGCAAGGGGCATGGAAGCCTGTCCTTGGTAAAAGGAAAAGGCAAGGGCAAGAAAGGCAAAGGAAGGGGAGCTGGCCCATTGGCCATTGAAGATGGTGAAGTGGAAGAAAAAAGTGAAGAGCAACAGTGGAAGGAGCTCCTTTCCAAAGCCAAGAGAGCCAGAGATCAGGCAGCTGTGGTCAGGGATGATGTTGAGGCTGCACTCAAGAAGGCTGACCTTGCTAAAAGGTTGACCAAACAAGCAAAGGGTGACACTGAGAGCATGCTGGAGGGCTTGATGAAGAAAGCCAATGTGGTGAAAATAATCCTGGCAAAGAAGGAAAAAGCTATGACCCTCAGCAAGGCAAAGCAAGCCTTGGTCGATGTCATGAACAAAACCAAGGAGCTCAAGGAAGAAGCCAAAGAACTCAACCAGCTGGCAAACAAGGCTTCCAGCAAAGCCTCCAAGAGGTGATGCAGCTACAATATTTCCTTGTTAAAAGGAAATTTGTAAGCACTTTTTGTTCCAGCAACAGGCTCTTCCTTGCTAAAAGGAAACAGCCTTGTAGATAGTGTGGGCATGGGATCTCCTTGTTAAAAGGGTGACCAGGCTTTGGACACACAGCACTACAGCAACAAAGAATGGGGAAAACAATTGCTGTGCTGGGGGGGGGCTGTGAGGGAAAGCAGCTGGGAACCACCAGAAACCAAGGGGTTGTGGTTGCTGTTTGTTGTTTGTGTGTTCAGGGTAATGACACAACTTGTTTGCTTGTGTTTGGCCCAAGCTTTTGAAGCCTTGCTAAAAGGTGCCTTGCCTTGCTAAAAGGTGTATGCACCATGGAGAGGCCACCAAAAAAACTCAGGGGTTGGAAGGCAGAGATGGCTCTAGCAAGTGGTGAGGAGCAGAGTTGTCCATCATCATCATCCTCATCATCGACCAGCCCCTTGTGCACCAGATTGCTTGAACTATGGTCTTTGGGTCGGCTTTCTGCCACACAAGTGGCAGAGATTGGCCATCTTGCTATGCTAGAAGGCTGCACTTCAGTTGACATTGTCAAATTAGCAAGCTGTGGAAACTTTGGGCAGCAGAAAGGGAATGCCCACAGGGACTTAATGTCAAAATTTTGTAAAGGCATCCAGCTCTGTGAACCAATCCCAATCCAGGTGGATGTCTTGGATCCCAACACCAGGAAATCTTCAAAAGAAGATGCTTGCCTGTTCCTTCCACACCTGGTCTTCAGCTCCCTCTACACCCACTATCCAGAACAATTTGAGAGGCTGTTTTGCTTCAAAGAAGCTCAAGCCTTCTGGAAAGGGGTGGAAAAGTCCAAGGACCCCAGACTCCTTCCTCCTCTAGCCCTTGGTAAAAGGGTGGTGCAACCTGCACTCACATGCCCCATCTATGTGCATGGGGATGGAGTTGAATTCCAGAGCAGGGATAGCTTGATGACTTGGTCATGGGGGTCAATGTTGAGCAAAGCATCAGCACTGCATCAGCATATTCTTTTGACAGCCTTTGCAAAATCAGTCACTGTTGGTTCAACTTGGACTCCACTCAATGATTGGATCTCTTGGAGCTTTGATGCCTTGATAAAAGGCAAGCATCCATCCCAGGACCCTTATGGATCTGCATTGCCACAGCATTTGGAAGCATTGGCTGGCCAGCCTTTAACACCTGCACACCACAGAGCATTCATATTTGCTACCCAAGGGGACTTGGAGTTTTGTAGCAACAACCTGGGGATGCCTCACTGGCAGAACAAGTATCCATGTGCTGAATGCGATGCACAAAGACCAACTTTCAAAGGCATCAAATGCACTGAAGGCAAGTCAGTGAAGGAGCTTATTCCAGAGCATCAAGACTTTGTTTATGTCACTCCTGAGCAAGCCCTCCTTGATAAAAGGAGTGGTTTGCATCCCCTTTTTGATGTGCAGGGAATCAGCACTGCACTGGTGAGGGGGGATTCACTTCACATTGTACATTCAAGAGGGGTGGCATCACACCTTGCAGGATCTCTCTTGCACTACCTGTGCTTTTTCGATGGAGTTGGAGCAAGACAAAAAATTGCACCAGCACAAAGGCTCCAAAGAATATTTGCCAGAATCAAGGAGCTTTATAAAGAACATGGGGTTACCTCAAGGTTGAATAACTTGCGATTGTCAATGATCTGTGATGCTTCTAAACCACATGCCCAGCATGCCTGCCTTGAAGCCAAGGCTGGAGAGACCAAGCATTTCCTACCTCCACTCCTCCAGGTTGTCAGGGAGGCTTTAGATGATGAAGAGCCTATTCACCAAACTATGATCAGTTGCCTGGAGGCAATGGTCAAGATTGATGCTCACTATGATTCCATTGGGATCTTTCCAACTTCTTCAGAGTTTGAGGAGGCTTGCAACCTTGCTAAAAGGTTTTTCTCCACTTATGCTGACCTCCACCAGTGGGCCTTGCTAAAAGGCAGGAAGATTTTCCACATTACCCACAAATTTCACAGCTACATGCATCTCATCCACAACAGTCAATATCTCAATTACAGGATTCACCACAATTATCGAGCTGAGCATTTTGTGGGCCAGCTGAGTGTCCTGGCCCATTCAATTTCTTTTGGTGTGAAGACATCCAAGGTATGTGTCAAGATGGGTGCCAAGTACAGAGTCTTGATGCACATGCAGCTGAGTCATCCTGGCTTTGGGAAGGTGGAAGAGAACACCTCTGACCCTTGATAAAAGGGTGACACCTACCTTTTAAAAGTGTTGTACTCCTGTCCCTTGCTGAAAGGGACAGGAAAGCAGCTTTGTTTCCACTCAGAAAAAAGGTGTATGAGAGAACACCTTTAAAAGGTGTAGTACTCCTGTCCCTTGCTGAAAGGGACAGGAAAGCAGCTTAAGTTTCCACCCAGAAAAACGGCTGTGCAGCTGTCACTTCCTATTGATTTTCCTTTTGATTTGGCATGCCAAACCAGGGTCTGATTTTATTGATTTAATTGATACCTTTTTTTGATTTTAATACGATCAAAATCAAATATGTTCTATTGAAAAAAAATCAATATCAATAGAGATTTGACCTTATTGATTTAAATCAATAGCCGATGCTCAGGGTACCTTGAATTTCTTTGGGCAGCAGGTGAAAGCAAGTCTGTCGCGAACAATACTCTGGCCGCTCTCCAGGACAAAGAACCAGGGTTGAAGAGACGCCTCACGGGCAGTTGGCGCCTTTTAAAGGCTTGGTCAACTGCTGAGATCCCAAGCCGGGCTCCCCCCATGACTTTGACGGTTCTTGACGCCCTTTGTGGATGGTTTGTGATGAAAGAGCTCCCACTCATGGCCTTGTCTTTGCGAGTGGCCTTCTTTTTGCTACTCCATACGGGCGAGCTGCTCAGCCTGCGTGCTCGGGATGTTTTCCTGCCTTCCCCAAAGGGCCCCGCGGTGCTTTCTTTAGGCCTCACAAAAGCTGGTGCACGACAGGGAGCAGCGGAGAGTGTAACAGTGCATGAGGACTCTGTACTGCCAAGTCTCTACCGTTGGAAGCAGACTGCACGTCCCTCTGAATTTTTAACTCCGAAACCGCATCAGTGGCGTACTTGGTTCACGAAAGCCATAGAAGGGCTGCGACTGACTGGTTTGGAGTTTCGCCCCTACAGCCTCAGGCGAGGCGGGGCCACGTTTTTCTTCAACCACCACGGATCCTTCGACCACTTGTTGGTCCAAGGACGTTGGGCAGCCGCGAAAACTGCACGTATATACTTGAACGACGGGCTGGCCCAGCTTTCGGAAATGACACTTCCTAATTCAGGTTTGCGTGGCTACATTCGTCTTTTTCGATCGTGCCCAATACTTGAGCCTGGGAAGTCTTGTACACTTCCCAGGGCAGGGGGGCGTGGAAAGAAGCGAAAAGCTGGAAAATGAGAGTACGGTGTCTTGCACGTTTTCTCCAAAAAACCCACAAGATGGAGTTATCTTGTAGGGTCCTCTCAAAAACACTTGAGCTCGGATATGCTCCGGTTTGGCGGTAGCGTATCTGGGGGGTGTAGGGGGGCCCCCCATCACTTCTGGTTTGGCGGA